CATCACTCATCTCACCTGGAAAGTGGGTTCACAGAAGGTACCATTGTACTGGCTGGGATTACTGTGATGGTTAAGTAAGAAAATGTATGGAAAATGCCAAATCAGTGCTTGGCACATGGTGACTACCCTACAAACGTCAACTGCTTTTAACAACACAGAGCAGAACTGGCTGCCACTGTGTTGGGTTTGTCCCCATCCCAGAAAAAAAGCCTAGGATCCCTATAAACTGAAACAATCAGTCATTACTAGATTGTGATCTGTTTGTTTTTCAGACACTTGCTGCTGATCAGTTTCAACTGAGACCCAGTCATAGCCATAATCAAACATCAAAGGCATGTGGGAAATAACATACTCCCTTTTTTCTTATGTTAGATACATAAGTGTATCTAACTGAATTAATTGATTGGCTACTACCACATGGGAGCCTTTGACTAACTGGGACCAAACCTCTGTGACTGTTGAGCAGAGCAGTTAGGATACAGCATCATGCCTCTGTCTTACTGAACACTCCTGGTAAATCATTCAACCTCTCTGTGCCTCTGTTTCCTCATCTACAAAATGGGGATAAAAGAGGACCTACCTCTTAGGTTGTAAGCTCAAATAAGACGCTACACATAAAGTGCTGGGCTAAAGAGGGCCGCCTCCTAAGTCCTCAATAGTTGGGCCATTAGTATGATTTTTATTTCCCCTGCCGTTCCTACTATCTCACTGAGGAGCTTGGTTCTAACCAGGACCAGGATATACAAATGTCGCCTAAGGTTCACTGTGTTGTAAAGTTGGATTAACAGCATCATGCAGGCTGAGAGGAAATCCAAGATTTCTCCTCTACCGTAACATCTCCACCTTGTGACTAAGCAGGTGGGCTGTAGAGGGGGAAAAGACCTTTGGGGTCTCTGGGTCATTGAGTTTATAGGCTTGGATTTCTCACATAAACTGAGCTTAAAAGGATTAGAGCATGAGAGAGACTTGGTCTCTCCTGACTATAATTTCCCATCCTCTCTGTTCTCAGCCTCTCCTTTACTGGCTGGCTGTAAGAGATTTCCTCTTGTCTGACTTCTTATTTGTAAAGAGCTCCAATCTGATTCTGGATGCCAGTTCTAGAGACGATGAGGATCAGAAAAAGTCATATATGAAAATGAGATGTTCCAACTTATACTGTGCCTGTGGACCCAGGGTGTACTTACTACACAGTGGATGGTTGGCTCTGACCTTCAAATGTCTGAATTCAGCCAGTCCTGCCCAGCAATCTTCACCTCTCCTAATTACCAGACAAAGGAATTTAATGCAGAATCATGTCTGAATGTCACTCTAAGAAACTCGGTTCTTCCTCACGTCTGCATCAATATTCTGTTGTTTTGAAACTTGTTGCTTCAGTAAGAGAACACTGGCCCTGGTGCTGCAGGCCTGCCTTCGTTCAATCCATACGGGCACCCCACCCCACCCTTCCCCGCTGAGTCACTTCCTGAGACAGGCTTTAATATCAAGAAACACACTTAAAGCCTACTTTTAAAATCACTTTAACTTTTTAACCAAGAGAAGAAATAGAAAAAAAGCATAGCACTAGAGAAAAAAGATACCACTTAAGTAAAGAAATTTAAAAAATCATAATCTTAAGACACCAAGCTTACTGATTTCTTCAAGTGAAGAACACAAGCCAAAACCCACTGGCCAATCTGGTTAAAATTTCACTGAAATGTGATTTCTACTGTTTAGACCAAACTCTCAAGGAGGAGGGCCTTCACGGTGGCACAGAGATAAAAGGGTCTTCCTGGCAATGCAGGAGACACAAGAGACATGTTTTTGATCCCTGGATTGGGAAGATTTCCTGGAGAAGGTAATGGCAACCCACTCTAGTATTCTTGCCTGGAAACTTCCATGGACAAAGGAGCCTGGCAGGCTACAGTTCATGGGGTCGCAAAGACTTGGGCACTACTCATGCTCACATTCATTCACTCAGCCTCAAGGAGGGAGATAGCTTGGTGTAATGGAAAGAATATAGATATTCCTATCAGACAACTTCGGTTTGAAATTTGGCTCCATCAATCCAGTCAAGTGACATTAATCTCTTTGAGGCTGGTTCCCCAATGAGAATAGTGATAATGTATATAACCTTCATAGCCCAGTTATTAGTATTATTAATGATCATTGCTATTGTCTTTATCTCTTCTTACCCTCAATCAGTAAAGTGTTCAGTTCAGTTCAGGTGCTCAGTCATGTCTGACTCTCTGCAACCCCATGGACTGCAGCATGCCAGGCCTCCCTGTCCATCACCAACTCCCAGAATTACTCAAACTCAAGTCCACTGAGTCAGTGATGCCATCCAACTATCTCATCCTCTGTTGTCCCCTTCTTCTCCTGCCTTCAATCTTTCCCAGCATCAGGGTCTTTTCTAATGAGTCAGTTCTTTCCATCAGGAGGCCAAAGTATTGGAGTTTCAGCTTCAGCATCAGTCCTTCCAATGCATATTCAGGACTGATTTCCTTTAGGATGAACTGGTTGGATCTCCTTGTAGTCCAAGGGACTCTCTCAAGAGTCTTCTCCAACATCATGGTTCAAAAGCATCTATTCTTCGGTGCTCAGCTCAGTAAGGTAGGGAACATAACAATATTATTTCATAACTGTTGTGAAAATTATTAAATTAGATAATTCAAAAGCTACACATTCAGTGTGTATGATGTGTCAGGTACTGTCCTAAGTACTTCACATGGATTTATTTATTTACTTCTTACAACAAGACCATTTTACTGAGGATGAAGAAACTGGGGCTTAGAAAGATTAAGTACATTATGCAAGGTTGCACAATTTTAAGGGGTGAAGCTGGATTACCACATGTGAAGGGCTCAGCCAGGACCAGGCGTACAGTAGACACTCAATAATGGGCAGTATTCATGGCGCCATGTATACAGAGAACCTTTCCTAAGGGGCTGCCTTGGGAATATCAGAATTTTGGCTGGCTGGAAATTTCACAATGGTCAGTGTGTTAGTATTGATGGAAGTTCATTCTTTCATGGAATATGGGTTTGGGGTTGCCCTGGAGGACAAAAAGAACTATCTCTGAGCTACAAACAGGAGTGGAGATATCTTTAAATAGGGGTTGAGTCAGATTCATTCAGTCAGGTGGTCCCCAAATTAATGTCACCTGTCTACAAAGAAACTGAGTAATTGTCATACTTAGAAAATTTCCTGTTTAGTCCTGAGAGAATGATTATGCTGCAAAGAAGCAGTTGTTAAGACTGGCTCGGGGGAAAAAAAAATCTTCTCTTGTAAGTTACATTTTGATGGGCCAACATGAGACACAATAAAGGCAGTGATATTTAAATTGATCAGGGACAGATGTTTAACATATTTTATGTAAGAATTGTAGACACAGTTAACTGCCAAAACAGACTGTTTCCTGAAACATTGGACAGATGGAACTAAGAAGATGTACTCCTGAGGAGTGGGAACTCCTCAAAGTGACCCTAATTTTTAAAAGAAAAAATCATTTTGATCAAAGCACTTCAGTGACTTTTAATTCTTCTGTTTCTGTACTTTGTTCACTTTGTCATGGCTACAAAGGTATTTGGGATGCAACATTTCTCTCTCTCTCTCTCTCTCCCGCTCTGCGTATGTGTATGCTACACATGTGTGAGTATTCCTGGTTTCAAAAGCATGCTTTGTTTTATTTTCTATCATTCACTGTGGGAAACTGAGTGTGCTGTACATATTGTTGGCTGTCTCCCCAGCATCTGCTCCCCTCCCCACTCCTCAGCAGTCCCTGATTTCCATTTGGGGATCTGGGGTTCCAGAGATGCTGCTTCTACTTCCACTTACAGATCTTGTCACCATTCTGCTGCAAAGTCTTGCCTTTGATTGTTCCTTTTCTCATTCAGAGTAAAAAAAAAATAAAACAAAAACCAACAAAGTCTTCATACTGGGGCTGCCAGGCTTGATGCAGTAGGGCCCCGTTACTCCAACCTCATCTCCTACAGCCTCCCACTAGCTGTGCTTTTTACCACCCCTCTTGCTCTTCCTTAAACATTCCAGGCACTGCTGTATCTGCCAATATTCTCCCACCTCTAGAACTTTAACTCTCTGACCTGTTAGAATAAAGCAACTGAGTTGACCAGTTTCCCCTAAATCCCTCATTTGGCTCACAGGGAAAAAAAAAATCCTGATACAATCAGAGTAATGTTAATTAAATTAATTAATTAAATCAGATTACTTTCTGTGAGAAGTGGGAACACATTTTCATTCCCATTAATGCTTTAAGAAGAATGCTCACCAACATTCTGCCCTGGTGTATATGAAGTCTTTCTTGTGTTCTTAAAGAACAATATACAATTCAGTGGTGCAGAGAAAGCCTGGTTGAGAGCAACTGCAAGTTATTTACTGGGTGGGGTTTCATTGCATTGGCTATTCTGCTGATATTCACTTAATGAAACTGACAAATAAAAACATCTGTAAAGTATGCCAACCAATGCCTGCTTCACCAATCCAGCTTTCTGGCTTGCCTCAAGTAGTTTTAATAAAATATGTTAACTGTACCAGTGTCTTGAAAGAATTCATGCTCTGTAAGCTAGCTCTCTCAATTGCTCTAAGTTTTGGAAATAGGCCCGTGAATTTAATGAACTACTTAAAATAATACTCCAAGAGACTTAAATCTTGGTAATTATGCAAGGAGTTGTATTTCAGGTATATTACATGTTTCGAAAATGACGCATTTTGCCTAGAATTCTGATTGTTGTATGTGCAATGAGCTATGGTCACCAGGATTGAATTTAAATCAAGTTTTCAATTCACAGATGACCCAAAATGAAATTCATGCAACTAACAGTAGGGAGGGATGGTGCTACCACTCTCTTGAGTTTGCCTTATAATGATGCTGTTTAATTTCCTGTTTTAAAGAAAGAACCTGAATGGAATTTCTTCTTCAGGGATTATTTGGTTTAAACCTGATCCTCTCACATGCCTTCCTAAATCCCTCCTTTGAGGATTTGGACTCCAGACTCACCTGAAGGTATCGTTTCAGTTCTTGGATGAGAGACACGCTCTTCATCATCCCAAAGCAATCCGAGAAAGTCCTTCTCTGCCACAAATGGCACCAGCAACTGTACAAAGCCCACTTTGTTCTGTGAGAAATGAAAACAGATTTTAGCAGTGCATCCTTGGATTGAAGTAGGAAGAACTTATACAGGGACATTAACGCAAGTCAGAATCATTAACATTCATAACAATAGCCACTGTTGCTGTTTATGCAGTTGGTGTTCAGTGCACCTGGGTCTTGTTTCATTCAATAACATAATATCTGCATTTGCCAGTACTCTTGCTCTGGACTTTTTGCTATTAAATTCAGCGAGGACTATTAGTAGTCAAACAAGTGTAAGGTTAAAGCCTTTATTACTTTTTTTGCCATGGGTGGTTAGTGGAGCAAAAGACCTCCTAGCCCATCCACCCTATCTTTCCAGTGGAAAGATAGCTCCTTGATAACAATGAAGGGTCAGTGTCTAAGCAATTTCTTTGGGATTGTGTATAGGTTGGTTTTAGCAATTCAGACAAGGATGACTCATTTTGATCCACAACACAAAAAATACATGCAAGTCAACTTATTCAAAAGTTTATTGACTAGACATAGTTATATAGATAGGAATTTCTATACAGCATCAAGTTAAGCAAGCAACTCCAACAAATTCAATTAATCATTGTGAGGCTAAACCAAGAGTAATTTAAGATTAAAAAAAAACACCATTAAGAGAAATAAAAAATTATAGTCTGATAAGATAATAGTACAATGTATTCTACTCCCATAGCTCAGGATTTCCAATGACTAGATGTTGCCTATGCACACAGCAAGAGCTTCACAGCTCTGTGAAACCCTGCCTGGAACATAGCTTTCTTAGAAGAATTCAGAATTAAAAGCCAGAGTAATCTAGTTCTAATAATGAATATCAAGTTTCAAATGAATATTTGAGTAACTCACTTATTAGGTTACTATGAAGTGACCCTTAATCATACATTGATATAACAGTCCATGGAATTTCAAATCATTCATGTAGAAGCCACAAGAGAAAAAAAAAATACTAAAAATGTTAACTTCTTATTTTGAGACAATTGTAGATTCATACACAGTTGTGAGAAATAGGATGGAGAGGTCCAGTGTACTTTTTACTCAGTTTCCCCAAATGGTAATATCTTGTAAAACAATAGTATGATGTCACAACCATAATATTGACACTGATACAATCAAGATACAAAATATTTCCATCAACACAACAATCTCTCAAATTGTCCTTTTGTAGCCACACCCACTTCTCTCCCACCTCCATCCTCTTCATCTCAGGCTACCAGTAATCTGGTCCCCATTTCTATAAGTTTCTCATCTCAAGAGTTCTAATCAACGGGATAATATAGTAAGTAATCTTTTGGGAAACTGCCAAATTATTTTCCAGAATGGCTGTACCATTTTACATTCTTACTGAAATATACAAGTGATCTATTTCTGTATATCCTCTCCAGCATTTGGTGTTGCCTCCATTTATTTTAATTTTAGTCATTCTGATAGATATGTAGTGATACTTTACTGAGGTTTTAATTTGGATTTCTCTAATGACTGATGCTGAATGGTTTGCCTTGGAAAAGAATTGAGATCATTCTGTCATTTTTGAGACTGCACCCAAGTACTGCATTTCAGACTCTAGTTAACTATGAGGGCTACTCCATTTCTTCTAGGGGATTCTTGCTCACAGTAGCAGATATAATAGTCATCTGAATTAAATTCGCCCATTCCCATCCATTTTAGCTCACTGGTTTCTAAAATGTTCACTCTTGCCATTATATAATAATAGCTACTACAAAGCCTTGGCCAGATACTTTCAATATGTGTATCAATGTGGTATTGAGGTCTGTTGATTGCTTTTTCCATGCAGTTTAAGGTTTTCCTCATCCTCTGCATGGCCAGTAATTTGGATGTATTTTGATTATTATAAAATTCTGTGTTTTGTTTGAATCTGATGAAAATTACTGATATTTTTGTTTTAGTAGGCAATCAAACTGGTTAGGTTCAGATGACAAATTTCAATCTATGAGCACTGTTTCTAATATCTTTTTAATTTTCAAAGCCTTTGCAGTACTATTAAGATCTGTCCCCCATCTGTGTCACTCAGTGGTTAGTCTGGAACCCTATCCAAGGCCTATCAGTTAGTTCAATTCTCACAAGTCTTCGATCTGCTGATTAGAATCAGACTCCTGCATACATAACTCAGGGGAAGCCCATGTGTTCATAAATCACTTTATGGGTTTCTGTTTTTCTTTGAGTTCTCCTCTCCAATCTCCTAGGTGCTTTAATTTTCCTTGGGTTCCTCTTTTGGCCTCTGGTCTGAGAGTTGGGCTTTAGTTACCCTTTCTGTCTGGCACATTTGTGACCACACCCATGTTCTAGGCCCAAGTGGCAAAGGACAGAGAAGGAACCAAGGCAATGGAAGTGCTGTCCCATTCTCGGGACCACATTTCCATCACTGAAGAGAAAGGTGCCCTTCCCTAGAGTTTTGGTTCCTGCTAGCTCCAGGCCCAGTTTTTGTCACTGTTATCATGGGAATGTCTACAGAACATGGTGGGAATGAACCAAGAGAAGGAAAAGAAGGTAAAACCATTTTCCATACTGTCTCCAGCATTAGAAGTCCCTTTTCCCTTCTTCTCAAGTTTGGAGTAGAAGGCTTCTTCTGGAGCACTCTCTGTACCCCCAGGGCTCTCTATGGAGTTTCAGGTTGTACTGTGTTCAGCCACAGTGATGTTCAAAGGGAAAAAAAATAATAAACTCACAACCATTTTGGTGGCATTTCAAATTCTAGTCTTCTTCCCTAAACTACCTGGTACTAATTACTTTTCAGAGTCCTCAGATAGCTGCTCCATGCATTCTGCTCATATTTGACAGTTGAATTCAATGGGAGATATAGCATAGAATGTGCTTACTCCATCTTAACTGGAACATGAACCTTAAAACAGGTATTTTCAAAAAAATTCAGTGGAATATAGTTGATTTACAATGTTGTATTAGTTTCAGAAGTACAGAAAAATAGTTTCATTTTTACATATACATATATCCACTCTTAAAAAAATATTCTTTTCCCATATAGTCCATTACAGAGTATTGAACAAAGTTTCCCTGTGCTAAACAGCAGGTTCTTTTTAGTTATCTATTTTATATACATACAGTGTATATGTCAATCCCCATCTCTCAATTTATCCATCTCCCTGCTTATACCCTGGTAACCATAAGTTTGTTAAAACATCTATTCAACATCTATTCAACATCTATCATAAAGAGTCCTACACCATATTTGAGAATTACCAGTCAAAAGCAAGGTGGCTTTTTCCTAAGAAAAGAACAATGATATGTTTATCAGTCTTTTAGTCACGACATAGGTACCATTAATTTAAAACTTACGGCTGAAGATCTTAGATTTGCTAAGCATTGTTAAAAAACTATATACCTGGATGATACTATTTTAGCTCTTGGTTGAAATTTACTCAAGACAGTGATTCAAAACAGACTTTGGTTTTTATCCAAAGTAGAGAAGAGAAAAAGTAATCTAAAGTTTGCTTTGTTATCTTCTACAGTTCTACTTTGCAGGACATTGCCCATTTTGTTCCATGCTGTTTAAATAAAACATTCTTCTTTGAATTTCATGTAAAGAAAAGGTTCATCACTTCTTATGAACTCACATGCCTCTTATACAACTTTTCTTTTTTCCATGCCTTTCAGGAATATAAGAACCTCATATAGAACCTCACATAGTCTTTGTTCTGGCTCTTGTGTCACTGGTTCTCCTTAGCTAGTATTCTCAGAACAACTGTTTTCCTCTATCATATTACATGGGGCTTATTAGTTTATACTTATTTTATTGATAGAAACTAAATCATAAGTGAATAAGAGGCAATGGTAAGATTATTAATCTCTCTCCTTTTTCTTTGCCATTTTTTTTTTGCTTTTTCTAAATCATGCTTTAAAAATAATGTTTTTTGATGAATATGTAAGACATTATAATATAATTTTATCTCTTTTGTATATTCTTAAAATTCCTCACAATAAAAATTAAAAGTTAAAAATTAATGAAATTATAATAACAGTGTGGCACTGGTACAAAAATAAAGAGATAATTACTGAAATAGGATAGGTAGTCTTGATGCAGATCTAGCTAGCACATTGCTGACATATATTGATAGGTTGAAGATGCAATCATAAGTCAGTAGGAAAGTTACAGCCACTGTGGAAAAGAGCATAAGGTTCCTCAGAAAACTAAAAACAGAATTACCATATGATCCGGCAATCCCTCTTTTGGGCATATATCCGGACAAAACCCTAATCTAAAAAGATACATGCACTTCTATGTTCATAGCAGCACTATTCACAACAGTCAAGACATGGAAATAACATAAATGTCCATCAACAGATAAATGGATAAAGAAGATGTGGTACACAATATATAGTGGAATACTACTCAGCATAAAAAGAATGAAATAATACCATTTGCAGCAATGTGGATTGACCTGGAGATTATCATACTAAGTGAAGTTAGTCAGAAAGAGCAAGACAAATACCATAAAACCTATGATATAACATATGTGGCATCTAAAACATGATACAAATGAACCTATCTAGAAAACAGAAACAGACTCACAGGCATAGAGAACAGAACTGTGGTTGCCAAGGTGGAGGGTGGGGAGAGGAATGGATCAGGAGTTCAGGATCAGCAGATGTAAATTAATATAGACAGGACAGATAAACAACAACGTCCTATTGTATAGCACAAGAACTGTATTCAGGGTCTTATGGTAAACCATAAAGGAAAAGAATATAAAAAAGAATGTGTGCATGTGTATCTACATCTATAGGTAGATATATAATACATGCACATAACTGAATCACTGTGCTGTATAGCAGAAATTAACACAACACTGCAAATCAATGATACTTCAACCAAAACAACAAAAAAAATGTGTCTGTGTGGGAGATTTTTTTTTTTGTACAAATAGGTATCTGGTAACGCATTAGTTGTTTGTGGGAAAAATTTTTTCTTTTCATTGAATACAAAACCTGAAAATCAATTCTAGGTACATATAAGAGTTAAATGAA